GATACGATATTAATTGATATGGGTCTTGCAACGAGCCACAAACACTTATCATTATTATATGTTTATTTCAACTTCAGACATTTTTGCTACATGAATACAGAATATTGCGGGCATGAATAGTCTAAGCAAATATTATTATTATTATTATTGTTATTATCATTATTATTATTATTATTATAATTGTCATGCATGAATTTTGTCCCAAATATTTCATCTCACAATTTAAAACTATAAATTACATTAACTGTACTCACATGTCCAAATGCTCCTTTGCCGATATTAGCTACGAGCTACGAATGAAAAAGATATGACGATATGAAAAACAAAGGGAGATTATGAAACTGGTGAATTATTCACTAACAATACATAATTTAATGGAATGTTTTAAACAAAAGAAAACAAACAAAGAATATGCAAAACAAAACCCAATGACAAGAAAACATAAAAACATTATAATTAAGGGGGAAAAATGTGTTTTTATCTCATAAAAAATTAGTAATTTTAACTTCATTATTATTTATATCTTGTCTTAAATACCTAGTTAATCATCGCAGAGCGTTGCACACTAAAAGTGTGCAACACTAATTTGCACTATTTGTATAGGAAATCGCACGATCTCGAGTACAATTTGGAAATTAATAGACACGAGTAATGTTTTGTAAGTTCTTGTAATTGCACGAGCCTTTAGGCGATATTAATTCAAAATTGTACGAGAAGATCGTGCGATTTTTTGTTTATAGTTCACTCAACAAAATTTCAGTAAAAAAAAGGGAAGCGATGCCGTTCATCTTTGTCTATTTGGCGGCCGATTTTCAGTCCATCTCACAACTGAAATGCATAAAAAACATTAGTTCTTACGGCTTCAAAATTTTATTTATATGTTTTTTAAGTACAAAATGATAGAAAATATTTGTTTTGACATAGCGACTTAATTCGGTACTCCTATGGAGTACAATTAATGCTATAATTGTACTCCTCTCGACCAATCAGAGTCGAGTAATTTTGTTGAGTGTACTATAAAGTAGTAAACAGTGCTAATTAAACAATAGAAAATATGATTACCATAATTTCGCAGTATTTAGTGGTATTTATGTTGCACACTTATAGTGTTTGTACTCAACTAGCCTATAGCAACGTTCAATGTTCAGCTAATGAAGTGGAAAGTTATCTAAAAGAATTGAACATTCACGAGTCCCCTGGGCCCGATCAAGTACTACCGCGTATCTTGAAAGAATGTGCAAAGGAATTATCCACATCACTGTGCAAGATGTTTAACAAGTCGTTTTATTCTGGTACACTTCCATCGGACTGGAAAATTGCAAATATAACTCCAATCCACAAAAAAGGTCCAAAACACAACAAGGAAAATTACCGTCAAATCTCGTTGACATCTATCATTTG